GCGGTTAGGAGTGTGGTGTCTGAAGGACTGTGCGACGTGGAGCATGTCGTTTAACCTCTCCGAGCCCGGTTTCTTCTGTACAACATGGAGGTAGTGATAGCGGCTGCTCTATAGTGATGATGTGAGGGCAGGAAGTAAATAAAGTATGAGTAAGCTGGACACAAGGACCGGCATTCAGCAAACACAGTAAACAAGCAGCTCAAGGCCATTCAGCGGGATCCAAGAAGCCCGGTTCCACCTGGAGTCAGCCAAGCTCTCCCTGCAAGTGTCCCCAGCTGGGACTTGCCTTTCCCCTGGGACTGGCCCAGAAAACCCTTTTAGGACACGTTGTCTTAGTGTTTCCCAATCCTGAGGGCCCTAATTTCCGAACACCTGTCTCCAATCCTGGAGGCTAAACGGGAGCTCAGAGGAGGGTGCCACACACTGTCTGAAAACTCAGTGACGCTCCCGTGCCTCTCTTTCTCCTCCCCCAGGTAACCCCAGGTAACCCAAGGGCCTGATATCCAGGTACACAGCCTAGATAGGGTTCCTAAGAAAATGGGGAGGCAGTTCAGCTCATGCCCAGGGCATGAGGAAGTGAGATCTCCCGGGCTCCCAGGCCACGTGAGTGATATGCTGGGGTCCACAGGCATCCGGCTACCTCGGGGCTCAACCCTTGCATGTCCACAAGCACCTCAGGCTCAGTTTGTCCAAAAACAGACCTCCGCTTCTGTCCCTTGTCTGCATGTAGCGACAGGACTCCCAGCTTCCACTCTCCCCCCGCCCCTCCACTCTGCCCCTGCCTACACAGCCATTACCTGGCCAACCAGAGCAGGCAGCTCGTTTGCTCGAGGCCATCCCAGCTCTCCTTTCCCTCCCGATGCAGTCTATGAGGCCCCGCAAACAAGGCCCTGCACCAACCCAGTTGTCGAGAGCCCAGACTTTGGACTCGGGGACATCTGAATTTGAATCTTGGGGCTGGCCCAAGATTCATACTCAAGTGTACCTGAGTTTGAGACCTTGAATAATTTTCTTAGCTGCTGGAAGCCTCAGTTTCCTTGAATGTAAAATAGTAATAATGCTCCCTACTGCAAAGGGCCAGTGTGAGGCCTCCACACCGAACCGAGGCTTGACTTCAGAGCCGGAGGCTTGGAGTCTGGTTCGTGGAATGAAGAATAAGCACGATGCAGGGGGAGGGTGGCTGGCAGAAATAAGGAAGATGATGAGACCATCTTCGGCATGCTGAGTGTAAGGGGCCTATGGGCGTCCAAGGCAGGCGTCCAGGGGCAGCTGGACCTGTGGGCCTGGAGTCAAGAGCAAGGCCTTGGCTGGAGTGGAGCGTGGGAGTCACCGGCACGTGAGCAGGAGGATGAGCTCGTGCTGGGGGAGGGGTCTCCGCAGGCAGAGGTCCACCCAAAGAAGGAGAAGCTCCAGAAGAGGGGCCAGAGGGCCAGGGGGCCACCCGCAGCGATAGCTCCACAGGCACCCAAGGGAGAAAGGGGCAGGGGCACGAGGACCAGCCACAGGGCTGAGGCTTCCAGGAAGCCAAGTTTGCTGAAAGCAGAGAGGAGTCCAGGGTGTTTGGGGGGCCAAACTCTCATTTGCTGGTGACTTGCAGTGAGGTCAGGAGGGGAAGCTGGCTCCGAGCTAGACTGGGGGGAGGGGAGAGTGACGACGGTGATTGTAGACAATTTTAGAGAAAAGTGGCTGAGAAGGGTGGCGGCGTGGGCAGGGAGAGATGCATGAGAACAGTGTTTGAGGGAAGGGATAGAGGACGAAGATGCAAGAAGCTCTTTGCTGTGGTTACTGGCGGGAGAGGCCAGAGGCTGCAAGCATGATGCTGGGAAGGGGCCAGTGGTTAGCGTTCATGTCCACAGTGCCCAGCACAAGGCCTGGCATGCAGCAGGAACTCAATAAAGGTTTGCTGTCTCCCAGGCTGGGATCCAGAACCCAGGTGGAGGGACTGGCCACAGAAGCCCCTCTGCCATTGTGCCAGGAAGGAGGGGAAATGCGGTGCCAGGGGTGCCAGGGGTGAGCAGAGTGTGGGGCAGGGCCTCCCTGGGACTCGCTGCCTCCTCTGAGCTGGGCCACAGAGGGAGGCAGAGGGCAGTCAGGGGACAGAGCCTGAGCTCTTGAAGACTGTCACTTGGCACTGCGCACGCCGGCACTTTTGTTCCCCCATTCTCAACTCCAGCAGTCACCTGGGCTTTATCCCCTTTAGAGCCACGGCCTCCCCCAAAGGCCAGCAGATGGTGCCAGTGAGCTGATGGACTCTGCTGGAGCTGACCAGAGCAGGGGGGTGCCCCTTCCAGCCACCCTGTGGCCCTCCAGTGCCTGGTTTCTGACCCGAGGGAGCACTAATAATGAAGGGAGGCTGTGGGCTGAGGGCCTCGGGGTGGGGTGGCTCAGGGGCTCTGCTCCTTCCGGTTGCCCTTCATTCCTTTGCTCCTGCCAGGCCCTGCCTTATCTGCTGGGGCTACAGCCCCCCTACCCTTCTTTTCCCTAGAGGCCCCTGACAACCCAGACTCCTGGGTCTGGCAGAGGTTGGTTCTCTGGCCCTGGGCAGGGACAACCTGGCACCAGGCCTCAGACAGGGCTGGGCCAGCCACTCCTCACCCTGACTGCCTGAACCACCTTCCTTCTACTTCCAGAACATTTCCACCTGACAAGGGGTGAGGGGTCAGCGCACCCCTCGAGGAGGTCACGAGGGCTGAAGCGCAGACCCTAGGAAGGAGGCGTGGCCTCCTGGCCCAGAGGTGGGAAGTGTGTCAGGAGGGCATATATGTAAAAATGTGGCAGATCACCTAGTCCCACAAGACCCAAATGTTGCAGACTAACGGTCCTGTCCGAGGTGGCAGTGCCCCAGAAGCTGGGCTGCAAACACCCGCTCCCCATCCTGGCCATCCTGTACTTTGTGGCCAAAGGCATTTCCCTATAGCACCCCAACTCAGTGGGTCTCTCTCCCCATGGTGGACATCCCAGGGAGTCAGGATCCTTCCCGGTGCCTTCCTGGGACAGCGTAGGATCCCGTCTCTCAGTCTCTGCTCTCACCTTGCTTCCCCACTCCCACCTCCCTATCCTTCAACACCTGCTCTTGACAAGTGCTGATATTCCCTATGTAGCCTTGGCCTTGAAAGCGGCCTGGGATCCCCATCTCACCCTCTCCTGCACACCCTCTCCCCAGCCCCAAGTGAGCCTTTAATGGACTGAAGCTGGAGACACCACAGCCAGACTCTGTGTAGGAGACTAGAGCTGGAAGAGGGGCAGGTCCCTCCAATCTGGGCATAAAGCTCCGATCAGTGGGCCAGGCCAGGGGTGCCTACCTCTGTGTCTCGGCCATAGATTCAGGGCAACAGGAGTCAGCAGATTTGGGAAAAGAAATGTTTCCCTGAGTTTCCAAAGGATAACCCAGACCAAGGAAGAAAGAGTTACTTTACTGGAAGCACACACACAAATGTACTCACAGGCCAGCGTTACGGCACAGGGAGACACTGCGTGTACGCATGGACAAGCCACGGAGCCCGTGCATTTGAGTGCATATAAATATAGGCACACAAGGTCATGCGCCAAGGTCAGAAATGCACACCCTCTCAAGCAAGCCCTGCCTTCCATGGCCAGAGATAGTCTGTCATCTGTTCTTATGGGAGGAATAGACTGGGGCACAGGAGTGTTCTGGGAAGGAAATGGATCCTCACCCAAAGCCTATCCCCTTAAGTAGGTCTGGCTCCCAGCTCCCTTACTGAAAATGCCCTGGACCGCCAGGGGGCCATGCCTGGGTGGCAGAGAACCGTTGGTGGAGGCACTGCTTTGAAGCCATGGCACAGCCCGGGCACCTAAAATAGAGAATGGGTGACAGAGCTGGGAGGGGTCCATAACCCTCTAGCACCTAGTGTGGGCACGGATGAGACACCGGGCAAGGCCCAGAAGCCCACAGGAAGCAGGGAGCCTCTCTACCATAGGCTGCACCTACTGCCCTGGGCGCAGGGCCTGGCAGCCAGGTGCTGGCAACAGCTACTGCCTGGCAGAGCCCTGGCATGAACGCTAAGACAGGGTGCCAGACACGGGGGTGGGCAGGGTGGGGGGCCGCCAGGCCACACACAAGCACAAACCTTCATACACACAGGGAGGGAACTGCACCCACATTGACACCACTCACTTCATCTGCTGGAGAATCACCCTGTCCCAGAGGGTGCCCTCACTGACTCTCCAGGTGTCCCCACTGGCCTGACTCTTGGAGTCCCTGGGGTAGGAGTCTGGGCTAGAGGTAATGGGAGGCTTAGACATTTCCTGTGACTGCTATTCTGCCTTCCACAAACACCCACACACCCATAAACTTGTGCGGCAGGAGGAGGTGGAGCTGGTGCATCCCCAGGGCTGGGAAGGGGAAGGCAGGTCAAAGACGGGCAAGAACCCGGATGGTTACCTTGCTTCCCCCAGCCCTCGCCCCAAGCCGGTTTTGTGGCCCCAGGACGCTTAGGTGTGAGTGCGCGTCAGGGCGTGTGTGCGATGGCCCTGCGGCCGCGGACGGCGTGGGAGTGCGGCGCGTGTGCCGGCGGCGGCGGCGGCCGCTCTGCCGTGAAGAACCGGCTGGTTCCCCGCGGTGTCCCGGCAGGTCTGGGAGCCGCTGCAAGCTGTCGATGTGGGGTGCTTGCGAGGAGGTTGGGCGTGGCCTCAGTCGTCCCAAGCAAGCGTTCACCTGGGAGCGGTGGCTTAGGGGCGGAGGAGTGGGGCGGGGGGCGCAGAGGTGAACGGATGCGGACCACCAGGGATGGACGGACTGGTCCTCTCCCTGGCACCGCCCGTGGCGAAGCGTGGTCTCCCTCAGCCGCAACTTTGGGACTTTGTTCCGGCTTCTTCGAAAGCAGTTCTGCGGGCGGGGGCGGGGCGGGGGCGGGGGCACCTGCCCAGCGCGGGGGGCCTGGACCGAGGGGGGAAAGCCACGCCCCTCCCCGCCTCCGCCCCGCCTTCTCCCCGCCCCCGGGGCTCTTTATAAGCTCGGCCCGAGGGCTAACCGAGAAAGCGAGTATCCCTCCCACTCCTGGCTGGTTTTCTGCTGCACCCTGCACTCCTAGCCCCGGCCCCGAATTTCTCTTCCCGACCCGCATCCCAGACACCGCCCCGGCTCTTCCCAGCCCGACCGGCAGCTATGGAGCAATGGCTTTGGCCGTCGGGCGGCGCCTGGCTGCTCGTGGCGGCCCGTGCGCTGCTGCAGCTACTGCGCGCAGACCTGCGTCTGGGCCGCCCGCTGTTGGCGGCGCTGGCGCTGTTGGCTGCCCTCGACTGGCTGTGCCAGCGCCTGCTGCCCCCGCTGGCTGCACTCGCCTTGCTGGCCGCCGCCGGCTGGATCGCGTTGTCCTGCCTGGCGCGCCCGCCACGCCTGCCCGTGGCCACTCGCACGGTGCTCATCACCGGTGAGTGCGCGGAGAGCGGGGACTCCAGGCTCTAGGACGGGACCGGACACCCAGAGGGATCCCATGGGCACCCTAAGGCAAGGCGGGCCCCCCCAGCGCAGGAGTAGGAGGGTCCCCTTCTCCTGGGTGCAGGGAGAGAACTAAGTGGGAAACAAGGCACCTCCCCAAGCCTGAGTTAACTATGTGCCGCTGCGGGGATGGTCGGAGGGAAAATGAGGCAGGGAGTGGGCAGGTGCGCAGGGGAAACTGGTGGCTGAGAAAGATGGAGTGTTCTGGAGTTTGGGGCTTATGCTCTGCCGCTCCCCAAGAGAGCAATCTCTAAGGGATTTAAGAGGGTGGTCACCCCTTGAACTCTGTTAAACATCCCCATGTGGGATGGCCCCTCTCTTCCCTGGGGCCAGAGAAAGGTGCTTAGACGGGTAGTTGGGGCCCTCACCACCCAGTTGGCTGGGATCCTTAGAGTCAAGAAAAGCTCGAGGTCACCATGAGAAGCAGCTAAGCATTCAGCCGCCCCTCCAGTCCACTTAACTACCCTCACACTGCTGAGGTGGAGTCCAGAGTCTGAACCCCTTTCCCCATTCCTCCTGGTCCTCTGTGCCCAGGAAGGAGGCCTTAGAGTGGTAGGCTCAGGTGCCTCTGGCCGCCTGGCTGAGTCTCCTTTGTCTGGAGCAGGGAATAAATCTGTCACCAGATCGAGGGAAGGGAAAGGGGGAAGTGGGGAGGGGGAGAAAGGCCAGGGGGCACTGGCTCCATTGTAAGAGGGGAGGGTAGCCTAGTCTCCTCTCCAACCCCAGTGGCTACGGGCTGGTGCTCAGGGCCCTGCCTTTGCATTGGGCTTGGGCTGGGGGGAGCCACCAGACTGGTTTCTCAGAGGTCTGGGTCCAGTAGGGGGCCCTGCATAATCATATGGAGCTGGGAGAACTTCCCAGAGGAGGCCAACCCTTGAGCTGGGCCTCGGAGGATGGGTGGAGATAGGTGGAGTATGGAAAGTGTTTTGTATGAGACAAAGGGTGTGGAACAAAGGCTTGAGGCAGGAATGAGCAAGGTCTGAATAGGGGATGATCAGTAATCAGTCTGGCTGCTGAGATGTGGTGGGATGTGAGGTTATTGCCTCAGGTGGGGCCTTGAACGCTGAGCTAGAGGCCAGACCGTGCTGGGGCAGGGTGAAGGGGGCAGGTGGGCTTTGGGCTTCAAGCAGAGAGTAGAGAGAGCAGGGCCCAGCCTGGATGGGAGGGACCAGGGCTCGGGGTGCAGTGCGAAGCCTTTGGGAACCCCAGTTTCAGGGGTTTGAGGAAGGAAGATGATAGACCATCCTGGTATGAAGCAGGGACTAGATGGTGATCCATCCCCAGAGACAGGGTGGCTCCCACCCCGTGTCCTCAACAGGTCCGAGGCCTCTGCAGTGCTGGTGTCTCTCCTGAGCTCAGCCCAGGCTTTGGCACCGCTTCTTTGTAGCCTTGGGTGTGAGAGGGAAGTGAAAGGAAGGATGTCTTCCATGACCTGGGTGCCCCCATCCCTGGTTGCAAAGCTCCATGATGGGGGAGGGGAAGGAGACTGCCCATCCCCTCCCATCTAAGCATCAGATATCAGGCTCCAACTTCCCCTGTGCCCCAGAACTCTGGAGGTCTCTCACAATTTGAGTGTGAGACAGGTAGGTGACCAGACCCTGCCCCACCTGCCAGAGCTGCCACCCACCCCTCCCTGGGAGCCACTGGCCAAGGCTCCTCACTAAGCTCAGCCCTGGGGTCAGGGTTCGGACTGAGTGGCTGGGGGCATAGCTGTGCACTGATTGGGCGGCAGGGGTCTCATGGGAGTGAGCCGCTGTGGTGTTCATGGCTCACTGCAGGTAGGTTGGAGGTGTGTACAGGTATGTGTGTGCAGGTGAGTAAAGGGGAAGGGCCCCCCTCTGGCCTCCACAGCCTAGGCTGGCTGGCAGGCCCCCAGCAACACAAAGCCCAGCTCGAAGCCCCCTGCCCAGCTCTGCTGTCTGCGGCACTGCAGGGAGCGGGTGCAGAGCCATCCACCAGTGGAAAAGCAGAGTGGCTTTGCAGCTTCTGCTCAGGGGGAGGAGGAGGTTGTGTCCACAGAACCAAAATGGGAAGGATCAAGGAAGCAGGGCCTTATCGGACCCCAACTCTAGCTCTGCCTGGTTGTTTCTCTCTGCATACCAAAGACAGAAAGTTAAGCCTTCAAGAGTGATAACTGACCTCAGGTCACCCTTGGTGGGTGTGGGAAGGGACTGAAATGCAGGTCTGTTCTCCATCCATCATTGTCCCTGTCCTAAGGGCAAGTGGTCTGGAGCTCAGAGAATGCCCCACTGTCGCCACTGACTGAAATTCCAAGGGTGGGGGTGGGGGTGAGGTGGGGGTGGGCCTCCTGCTTGCCTAGAGGGTGGAAGGGCAGTAGGGTTGTCCAGATCAGGAAGGCGAGCTAGCTCAGGTTGGGCAGGGCCTGGAGGATGGGAGCAGAGGGCTCGGGCTTCAGCCAGCGCACTGTGGGCGCCTGGGGAAGGTTTTCCGCAGCCATTGCATTGTCATTTTTGGAAAAATCCCTGTAGCTGTTCAGGTAGAGAAGGGATTCGAGGGATTAAGATGGGACAGGGCTGGAGAGGGGGCTGCTCCAGCGTCCAGGTGGGCGGAGGAAGCCTGGGCGAGAACGGGGAGGACCGGTGAGGACGGCAGGGAGGCTGTGCGGCAGCCCCGCACGCGTTTGAGCAGAAGCTTGATGTCCAGCAGGCAGAAGGACGTTAGGGCTGGGACGGGGTCCCAGGCCGACCTGGGATAGAGTCCCGAACTCACTCAGCGCTGGCCGAGTGACTGTGCAAAGCAGCTTAGCATGACTAGATCTGTCTCCTCATCGGTAAGGTTGGGCTCATGAGGCGTGTCTGATGGGGCTGCCATTGGGAGTCAGGGAGACGACAGCTGTGAAACAGTTGACGCGCAGGTGCTCGGCCAGGGAGCACCGCCTGCCGGAGATGGAGGGTGGGCTGCGGACTGCTGGGAGTTTGGGTGACCAGGGTCCTGGATTCTGTCTGGACCCTGGTGATCCTAGGGTTGTCTCAGGCTGGACTGGGTCACAGTGGGAGTTCACTGGCTGCCCTGCCCTGGCCAGGCTGTGACTCTGGTTTTGGCAAGGAGGCGGCCAAGAAGCTCGATGCCATGGGCTTCACGGTGCTGGCCACTGTGTTGGACTTGGAGAGCCCTGGTGCCCTAGAGCTGCGTGCCTGCTGCTCCCCTCACCTAAAGCTGCTGCAGATGGACATGACCAAACCAGCTGACATTAGCCGGGCCCTGGAGTTCGCCAAGGCGCACACCAGCAGCACAGGTCAGTGGGCGAGGCCCCTCGAGGAGAGGGGTGGCTGGGTGGCTGCAAAGGGGCAGTGACTGTAGGTTCGCTGCAGGGCTGAGCGCCAGCTTCCCTCCCTGCCTGCTCCACCTCCTCAGGCTTATGGGGCCTGGTCAACAATGCGGGCCTCAATGACATAGTGGCCGATGCGGAGCTGTCTCCAGTGGCTACGTTCCGCACCTGCATGGAGGTGAACTTCTTTGGCACGCTGCAGCTGACCAAGGGCCTCTTGCCACTTTTGCGCCGTTCCAGGGGTCGTATTGTGACCCTGGGCAGCCCGGCAGGTGAGTGCATGCCCACACTGCAGCAGCAAAGGAGCCAATGGTGGGGAGGGATGCTGGAGCCCCTGGCCCAGGCTGAGCTGCCCCACCCCAATCCATCCCCAGGAGACATGCCATTTCCATGCTTGGGGGCCTATGGGACTTCCAAAGCGGCCATGGTGCTGCTCATGGACATATTCAGCAGTGAACTTCTGCCCTGGGGTATCAAGGTCAGCGTCATCCAGCCTGGCTGCTTCAAGACAGGTGAAGGTCAGAGATGGGTGGCAAGGGAGCCCTGGGGCTGGAAAAGAGGCATGGTCTCATGTGGGGGGAGGGTCAGGTCTATGGAGTGGGCGTGGCTTTGGCAGGAGGTGGGGCACTGGGGAGTTTAGCCTGGGTCTTTGGCTTCCCCAGCTGACTGGCTGCATGCTCATGCTGATTTTATCACTCCCCCCCGCCCAGGGTCAGTTAACAACCTGAACTGCTGGGAGCGGAGCAAACAGCTGCTGCTGGCTAACCTGCCCCAGGAGCTGCTACAGGCCTATGGCGAGGATTACATAGAGCACATACACAGGCAGTTCCTGCATTCGCTGAGCCTGGCAGTGCCCGACCTCAGCCCAGTGGTAGATGCCATCGTCGACGCGCTGCTGGCCGCTCAGCCACAACACCGCTATTACCCGGGCCGTGGCGTGGGGCTCATGTACTTCATCCACTACTACCTGCCCCGGGGCCTGCGGCGCCGCTTCCTGCAAGCCTTCTTCATCAGTCCCTGCGTGCCCAGAGCACTGCGGCGGGGCAAGCCTGGCCCCACTCCCGCCCAGGACGAAGCCCGAGAAGCAGACCCAAACCCAGGCCCTTCCCCCGCAGTGGCCGAATGAGCAGTGTGCACACATGGGGCCTAGCTGTTCCAGCAGAGGAGGTCCTGTGAGCCCCTCGCCCTCCCCTGGACATTGTGGCCCCAAAACCTGCCCTAGAGCCTGCCCCACAGGACCCCCAGCCCCATGGACTGCCGATGCCCCAGGGCAGGCCTGGTGAGGCTAAGGCTTCCCGGGGAACTGGGCCTCTCTGCTGTTTCTCGGCCCCAGACATGCTCTCCAGGGCACACCACCCCACCCTGTAGTGTAGAGAACCCAGCTGGAAGGGGGATGTAGTGCGAGACGTAGCTGTAGCCTTCGATAGGACCCCACAGTCAGTGCCTCTGCAAACTAAGACGTGACAGGGTAGGTTGGGCACCCCCTCAGGATTATTTCTCAGCACTGGTGCCTCAGTGCTGCGATTCAAAGGGTGAATCCCAGCTATTTCTTGACTGGCTCAAGAATCAGGGTCCCGACCACCCACCCCAAGCCACAGGGAGGCTGCATACCCTACTTGCCTGACTGCCATTTAAGAAATAAAGACACATTTTAATTTCTCCTAGAATGGGGTAGACACTGTGTTTGGGGGTGAAAGGCTGTGGCTGTGTGCCACACGGGGTACTGCCTGGGGGACCCCCGGGCTCAGCGCGGGGACGAGGCTCTGCACGCAGGCTCTGGGTCACAGCTGCCCGCCGCCTGGGCCTTGGGCAGATCTGGGCTGACCGCAGCGCTGGGTTTCCTCATAGTGAGATGGAGGCGAAAACCCTGGCCCGAGGAATGGCGGAGCTCAGTGAGCAAACAGGCCCGGGGGCCCTCCCGGCCACCCGGACCCATGCCCCCAGCAGAGGCAGGCGCTATCCTCCAGCCCTGAGGAATCTGCCTGCTCAGCAGAGCGCCGGCCCGGCGCTGCCCACCACGCCGACTGCCGGAGTTAGAAGGCTTAGGCTGGGCGGGGCTGGACTCAGTGAGGGTACATCCGAGGCAAGCTGGGGGGTCTGGGAAAGGGGCTAGGGTTCAAAGGAGACAGCAGACAGCTGGACTTCGAGAGAGGACAGTTTATTGTTCAGAGGGGCAGAGCTGAGAAAGGGATATGCACAGCTACCCACACCACACCCCAAGGACTCACACACACGCACACACTGCTTCCCCACGGCTCTGGGGGCGACCCACAGAGGGGAAAGGAGGCTCCCGCTACCCCCAGGGGTTCTCAGGTTAGGAAGGGGCACAAAAGTGACCACATGCTTCTCGGACAGATCAGTGGCTGTAACGGGGCTGAGGGGTCTCCTTGATCTGGAGGGGGGGCTTGGCCTGCCCTTGGTGGGGGGAGCAGGAGCCCAGCCCCTCGCAGGCCCGGAAGGAGCCTCTGAAGAGCGGGGAAGCTGGGCGGCCACTGCGACAATGCGCTGCCCCAGGGCAGGCACGTGAGCCGCGGCCTCGGTCCCAGCACACACAGACGCGCGCGCGCGCACACCATGGGGAGCCCCAGGCCAGGGCGCTAGAAGATGGGGATGTAGTTGTCGATCTTGGCGCGGTGGCGCTGGGCGATGCACTCAGCAATCCACACGATGTTGCGACACTCCTGCTCCTTGAGCTTCACAAAGGCGTAGAAGACACCAAAGTGGAACTGGTTCAGGAAGGCCAACTTGTTCAGTTTCACCTGAGGGCAGAGGCAGGCGTGGTGTGTGGGTGGCCGTGACCACGAGAGTCGGGCCTGAGCCACCGGCCCCTCCGTACGACGGGCAGGCCCGGTACCCACCTCGTGCTCAAAGAATCGATCCTCCAGGGTCTTGTCTCCGGGGTTACTGCCTGCACCCTCGAAAAGCAGCTTGTACTCCTGGCCCGGGGGCATGGCGGGAAGCATAAGCGTGAGGGGGCTGTTGGGTGTGGGGGGTGGAGATTCAAGCGCCAATCTGCCCACCCCTGGGTGCCGCAGCGGGAGCACTCACCGGGTAGTAGTCGGCCACGTTCTTAACCTGCTCGTAGTCGTCAGCCCGAGCTAGCTGGGCCAGGCCCTCCGGGTACAGCCGCCCGCAGTGTGGGAAGAGCTTGGCACGGTCTTCCTTGGACAGCTCTGTGCCGAAGGAATTGATGGTGATAATGAAGGCTCGGCGGTCTGCTTCAAACTGTAGGGCCGCGGCACAGCCAAGGAGAGAGGGAGGGGAGGGAGGCAGTAGCCAGTCAGTTGGCAGGGCTTGCTCGAGGCCTGTCCTCCCCAGGGGACCAGCGGGTGGGAGGGTGGGCAGGCACTCACCTCCAGGATGGGGCACATGGCGTCAGCCGTGGTCCCGCCCAGCAGCGTGCAGAACTTGTAGAAAGACTCCAGGTAGGCCTGTGCGGAGCATGGGGCTCGCTCAGGCCAAGCGGGAAGACTCCGTGGGCTTGCCAGGCCTCCTACGCATAGTCCCCCTCCCGGTCCCTTTCATGGTGAGTCCAAATGTCACACCCATGGTTTGGCCAGGGCAGCCCCCATGTGAGAGCCCACGAAACAGCCACAAACTCCAACTGTTAACCAGTCCAGCAGTGAAAGCTGGTAGCCTTGACCCCAGCCGAGGGGTGACAGCAATTTCTGGCCGATGGTCTGCTTCATGATGCAGTACCCCCCTCGCTCTCATCCCACAGCGGGCCAGGCTCGGAGGGGCTCTGTCATTCCCCTGCTGTTCTGCCTGCCTTTCCCCCGCATCTTCCCCCCTCAGCCCCAGAAAACCACCTGTCCAGGGCTGGTGCAGGAAGGTTACTCCTGTGAGTTCACAGAGATACGGGCTGGACTGGACGCCCTGGTCCCTCCTGGCACCCCACCTCACAGAACGCTTTCTCCTCCCCCCGCCCCCCAGGCATCACACAGCAGGAACCAAACGGCCTGCCCAGCCCCTGCAGAGGGACGACTGCTGCCTACATGGATGTCAGCCCTGCAGAGCGATGGCCAGACGTGCTGAGCGCCGGCGGGAACAAGCACTTCCCGCCCAGGCAAATTGGATCTGCCGGGCACGAGGAGGAGACAGGTCAGTCCAGGCCCCAGGCCCCTCCCGGCACTCACTCCTAAAGGCTACCAGGCACGGGCTTCCTCCCCATATCTCTCTACGTCCAGGAAGAGGGCTCCCTTCGCTCAGACCCTCCTGGGTCCCCCTGGTGGCGTGATCACAGAGCCTCTGGCTTCACAGGCTGGAGGCTAGTTTGGGGGTGAGGGCTGGGCAGCACGGAAAGCTCTCCACGCTAAGGTCCGCCCTCCAAGTGCAGAGACCTTTGCACCCACCGCCGGCTGACCTGGGCCACCAGCTCTGCTACCCCATGGGAGGCGGTGGGACAAGACCCGGGCATCAGCAGCCCAGGCTCATCCTGGCCGGCAGCACTGGGCATGCTAGGCTCAGAGAAAGGCCCGAGGTGACCACTGAGGCCACAGAAAACAAAAACTCTAGGACAGGTCAGGGAGTGAGAAGCTGGAAGGGGAGAGTGGGCTGTAGCACAGCGGGTCCACGGGAATCAGAGAGGGCAGCGAGAAACAGCTGCCAACCCCACCGTGGCTGGCGGGTATCGCTCAGTCCTAGCACGGTCCCCAGCCACCTCCCTCCCCGGATCCGGCCATCTAGCTGTGCCCAAATCCCCAGGCCTGCACCACCCAGTGGGGTCTGCAGCTCCTCCCTATGGGGGAATCCACCAGCTTTTGCAGAGAGGCTGACCCCAGGGTGAAGGAGGCTGGGGCAGCTGGAAAAGCTGGCAAGACCCCAAAGGCCCAGGTACCAAGGTCACATCCCCACTCCCACCCTGTGACCTGGAGGAGTCTGCCAGCTCACGGCTGTCGTGCCCGCTGCCTGCAGTTCCCACCCGGTACACGGATGAGGGTCTGCCTAATCTCCCATCTGTGGCCACTGGGCTGGGACGCTGCCGGCTGGGTGGGCGGTCTGGCACGGCGCCTGCAGCACTGGATCAGAGTTTACAAGCTGGTGCCCAAGCAGCCCCAGCCAGGGACTCCAGGCAGAACCAGTCAGGGCCGGTGAGGGTGTGGGTAAGGCTGGGGGGACAGCCACACCCCTCACCCTGTCTCAGGGCAGGGATCCCGGCAGCGGGCCAGCTGGGCGGGCAGGAGGGTGCGCGCACTCTCTCTGCCCACCGGCTGGCCTGCCTCCCTGCTAGCGGGTGGAGGGGAGCGCTTGCTCTGCAAACAGGCTGAGCCAGGTGCGATCCCCAGTGCTGCCGGTGTCTAGCGAGTGGCTTCGGGTAGCCCGCCTGACTTCCCTGGGCCCTCGGTTTCTCCTCTTACAAAGGAGAAGACTGATGCCTTCCTAGCTCCTAGGGCAGTCTTGAGAACTAAAGAAGCTGAGCCTTCCTCCAGGTCACAGGGTGGGAGTGGGGATGTAACTTTGGTCTCGTCCCCTCCAACCTTGCCCTCCACACTGCAGCCAGAGGGGCTTTCTGATACTTTGACCACCAGAACCTTTACTGGCTGGCCCTGCACACAGGATAAAGTCCAAACTCCGGGCCTGGGTGACTTGATCCTGTGCCTGCTTCTTTTTCCACCTGGAACCTGCCCTTCCACGGCAAACCTCACGGCCACTTGGCCCACGCTCCACGCTTGCTTCTGCACGTGCTGGTCCCCTGCCTACCCCACTGAGCCCCCAGGCAGGTGCTTCCCTACCACCAGGCCTGTCCTGCACCCTGGCCGAGAGCCCTGCAGGGGGACGGGACGGTCTGGGCACAGCCGGCAGCCAAGAGTCAGCTGCGAACTCCGACCAGGGCAGGCGAGGATCCTGGCTGTAAAGATCTGAGAGACGCCCTGGCTGGGCGACTCAATTGGTTGAAGTGTCGTCCCACACACCAAAACACTGTGGGTTTGATCCCTACTCGGGGCACAGGCCTCGGCTGTGGTTTGATCCCCAGTCGGGGAGCATTGTGGGAGGCAACTGATCAATGTTTCTCCCTCATGCTAAAAAAATCAATGAACGTGTCCTTGGGTGAGGGTTAAAAAAATAAATAAATAAGGATCCGAAAGACAGATGCTCTCAGGGCCAGGTGGGCAGGGCCCTTGGCCAGTGCCATCCAGGGCCTGGCCGCTGCTGACCCATGCTCCTGGCCACAGCCCGCCGGCGTCCTGGCACCACAACCTCACGCCTCACCGCACTCACAGCCCGGTCTGTCCCAGACAGCCCTCGCTCGTCCCTGGCTAGCCCTGCTCTTCACCTCTTTAGGCCAGGACAGCGCTGACCTAGGAATCCCAAGCCCACTCTGCCTCCACAGCCTCCAGGGGGTCGCCAGCCTGCGGCAAAGGCTGGCGGGAAGCGGAGGGTAGGTGGGGGGGAGGATGATGAGGCACGGCCCTGGCTCTAGGCCTGGGAATGTGACAGGGACACAGGGACACAGTGACCTGGCTACTCCTGGCAGGGTCCCTCCCCTGCCCAGAACAGAACTCTGTCGCCTCTGCTCCTGTGCCGGGCCTCGCTGGCAACACTCTAGGTGAGGTCAGCCTGAGAGCTATGGCCCAGAGGGTGGCTGTGACCCTCCGGGACTCAGCACAGCAGTCGCCCGGGAGCCAGCTCTGACCAGCCAGACTGCGGGGCACCTGCCACTCTG